TCAATGTCATGAGACAAAGTGTATGTGAACTGCTGTATGGAAAGTGAATTTGCTCTGTAAACTTTCACCCAAATCACAATAAAACAAACAAACAACAACAACCAAAAACATGGCTCCTCCGTCCCCTGCCGCCCTCTGCCAGCGAGTCGCCCTCTGCCAGTCGGCTTCCATGCCACGCTGGTCTGTCATGCCCGCCTGCCTGCCCCCTCCCTCAGGGGCTCTCCCCGCCCGCCCTCCCTGCTCCTGCACGCACGTTGATGGCAGCTCCCAGCGCCATGTTGGACTGGTACAGCCGCAGCCACAGCTCCTGCACGGCCTTCCAGAACTCGGCGTAGTGGGCCGGGTTCCGCCCGCACATCTCAGTCAGGTCCAGGCCGGCCGAGAAGATGCCAGGGCGGTCCTGTGGAGGGGGACGTGACTTACCCACAGGCCATGGGCTGTCCCTATGTGTGACCACAGCCTGGCTGAGGGCCCGGGAGGCACGTGTGCTCTGTGGGTGACCTGGCACTGATATGGCTGCCGCGGTGGGGCAGACTAGGGTGGGCCAGAGACTGGCAGGGCTGGTCAGGGGCACCTGGCCTCCTGGGCGACATGGCCCAGACAGTCACGTGGGAAGCCAGTCACTTGCGTGGTGACCGCTGGTGTGAGTGGGGGTGGGGGCAGACCCCGGGAGCCCCTCCAGGGAACAGTCTGCTGGCTGCAGAGGGCTGTGTGGGGCCCCCAGTGCGAGGCCCTGCTCACTCTGGGTGCCCGTGACCTCTGCTGGGGGACAGTGGCGGCGTGACGCTTTGCTGTGGGAACTCAGGGCCCCGGGAGGGATGTCTGGAAGTGTGGTGGGCGTGGGGTGCGCACCGCCGTGAGGACGATGCCGCGGACCGTCTTGTCGTTCTCCAGTTTCTCCAGGCAGATCCCTAGCTCCGTGAGCATCTCCAGGCTGAGGCTGTTCACGGGGGGATTCCTGAACTTCACCACGGCGACCCCTGAGCCGAGAGTGAGGGTGAGAGAGGCCGCCTCCAGCACGCGCGAGTGCCACCGTCAACATGGCCACGGGGGCTACGGGGCTCGGTTGTTGTTTGTTTTAAATCGAGGTGACGTTCACTTCACAACAGAACAGACACTGAACTTTTTCCCCCTTGCTTAGACATACCTGATCGTTCAGCCCGGCCACCCGTCCATCCACCCGTCGTCGATCAATGCTTGCCACCACCGACGACGCAGTCGTGCGCATGCAGGGGGTTCATCTGAGTTGTCTGACCTCCCGTGTCCCTCTGTCTGTCTTCTTCCTCAGGGCTCCACACTGATCACTTGCTGTTGGTACGCTGTCCTTCCCTTCACCCAGATCACTGCTTGTCTCCACCGATCTAATGGTGTTCCCTCCCCACCCCTCCCCACCCCTGGGAACTAACAAAAAAGTTTCCTTCCACATGTAAACTTTCCCTGGACTTTTTACAATAGCGAACTAATACAATATTTGTCCTTCTGTGATTAACTTATTTCACTCAGCATAATGTCCTCCAAATTCAAAACAACCATTTTAAAATGAAAGATTCAGTGCGTTTACAAAGCTGTCTAATCACCCCTTGCTCTAGTTCCAAAACGTTTATTACCCTGAAAGGAGCCGCCTGACCGTGTCCAGCGGCCACTCCCCAGCCGCCCTCCCCCAGCCCCCGGCAACCACCCATCTGCTCTGGCCCTCGGGCTGGATCAGCTCTGGTGTCTCATGGCCACTAACCACACAGGATCTGTCCTGCGGTAGCTGGCTTCTTTCACTGGATTAATGTTTTCAAGGGCCATCCGTGCGGCAGGATGAGTGCGAACGAGTCAGAACCGTGTTACCTCACAAGTAACAGCCTGTTGGAGGGGCGACGGGGCGGGACCCACCCCACGGCCGTGGGTCTGGTTCTTTGGGTTCCCTACCAGTAAGCCCCAAGTTTCAAACAAATAAGAACAAAGATTAGCGTCGAGAGATCAATTCCAAACCTACAGGTTCCTCTGGTCTCACCATGTTCAAAGTGCTGTCTCAGAAGACACTGGCGGTTTAACTGTTTTCCCATCAAACTGGCCAAAGGTTAAGCCTTGTTCTGATACCCTGCCAATCTTTGCAGACTTCTACCCCGGGGCCTGGCAGGCGTTTGCTGCGAAGGATCAGGGAGGACTGGCAGCAGGTCAGGCCTGTGGCCACTGTCACCATTCAACTGTGCTGCTGAAGTCAAGAGCAGTAACAGATGCTGTGTTGGGGGCCAGGCATGCCTGTGTGGCAATAAAACTTTACAAAAACAGGCGGTGGGCCGGATTTGCCCACTCTGTTAAAGCTTTAACAGGGGGACCCTGGTGGCACAGTGGTTAAGTACGTGGCTGCGAACTGTAAGGTTGGTGGTTCAGACCTACCAGTTGCTTCACAGCAGAGAGATGTGGCAGTCTGCGCCCATAAATATATATATTTCTTAATTTTAAGTTTTAATTGGGATCTGGGTGCAATTTTATAAAGATTTGTCTTCCATTCAACAGTTCGTACACATTTTGTTCTGTGACATGTGACAATCCCCACATGCAGCAGCAGCGATCCTCCCACGGTCACCCCTCCCCTGTATCCTTCTTGCCAATGCATTCTGGCCTCCCTACCTTTCTTCCTGTGCAAATGCTGCCCATCTTGTCTCCCAAGGCTGACTGTTCTAAGGAGCACATCTCCCTGGGGCGGGTGTTCAGCTCCGGCCTGTTTATTGTTTGGCTGAGAGTTAAGCCATATAGTGGGTTCAGTTCCAGGCCCTAAGGGTGACTAGGGACCAGCGGTTTCACTAGTCTGCGTCAGACCAGTAATTATTGTCTTTTTTCATGATTTTGAATTTTATTCCACATTTGTAAAGACTGACAGCCCTGGAAACCCTATGGGCCAGTTCTATTCTGTCCTCTAGGAGTGCTGTGACTCAGAACTGGCTCAACAGCAATGCATTTGTTGTTGTTGTTGTTTACATGTTCGTAAAGAATCCTAGTGGCACAATGGTTAAGGTGCTCGGCTAGCCAGAAGGTTGGAGATTTGAACCCACCAGCTGCTCTGTGGGAGAAAGGTGACAGCCTTGGAGACCCTGTGGGCAGTTCCACTCTGTCCTCTAGGGGCGCTGTGGGTCAGAATGGACTCTAGGCAGTGGGTGTGGTTTGGGCTTTGCTTCTGTGAAGATTGACAGCCTTGGAGACCCTGTGGGCAGTTCCACTCTGTCCTCTAGGGGCGCTGGGGGTCAG